TGCTATTTTAGTAGAGATTGACCAATAACATTTTGTCATCTTCATTAGTCAAACATGCTACTTACGATTTATGATTTATTGGCATTTAAACAATTGTTTATACGTCTTTATATCATTGATGATTTTATTTGATGATTTAGAAAAAAGACGATATTACTGTAAGATATTTAGACCGACACCCAAATCCTATTGGGCGAGTATAGTAAGTAATGACCACTGCCAACCAATGAGACAGTATAGATAATGCTAATGTTGCCGAAACGTATGCCCATTTTTTTTTTCAGCAGGATCGTTGTATAGGGTCCAAATTAATTAGTGGAGCGGCTGCATCTAACTCATTGTTTTCCTTTAATCATTCTTACGAGGAGTGCCGGAATGTCTATGCAAATAACAATGGAATAGAGTTTGAGACTTTATCGTCACTTTGATCGGTTAATCAGCATTGAATGTCAGTGTACGATCTTGGTATTTGTCTGCCTTCAATATATCGTCGGCGGGATCACTGCGTACTTCACGTTAATGTATTATGCTCCTTCCTGCCAGTCTTTATTCTCCATTTCTTCGTTATTATCATAGTCGTAGAGAGGAAAGATTTGTATAAGTCGGATATTTTTATCATGTAGTCGTTGTTATCAGGAGAGAATTCAAATGCCACTGCATATTACATTCCTCTCCTTCACCATATCTTTGCATATGGATTGATTCTTGGAGGAAGTGTATATCTACGCACAAGTAAGCTTTTGGGTTCAACTATAGATGTTCTATGAGCATACTCACTTGTCAAAGCGAAACTTTTGATGTAATTTGGGATCTACGAAAATGTCTGGCTCAATTTGGCCGTACTTGGAGATGATAACTTCGAATGAAGAGTTATATTGATCGAGAAGATAGATGTAAATACAATGTCCATACATCAGACTACAAATACTTTAATGGCTATCATACATTATGCTCTTGTCCGGGTGGCGTGACTGTAACAAATTGTTCCGTGTTATTTTGTTCTAAAACCGTAAGGATGCCTTCTTGAAAAACTACGGGATTGTTCATAAGCGACCTAACGTCTATGATTAAAAAATTAGTTAATGTGATCGAAATATTTCAATCCATCATGAGGCTTGGCTCAAAAACGTTCGTATACACCATTAAATACATCATTAACTTCTCCTGGAGGACTATCTAGTAAGAATTTTGTGATTATTTCCAATGTCTTTTCGTCGCTCAGGAAAGCTATTATGCAAAATAAAAAGAGTGGTCAGCATGCTGTTAGTGGGCCGCTCTTGGTTCGACTGTGGATTGAAGGATGGTGGGTTGTCTTGAGAAGAAGCTCGAAACTGCATTGGATAACGGAGAGGTTGTGGAGTGGTGGTATTAGGTGATGTAGGCACGGAAGAAGAGGTGGGATAGAGTCGTCGTCTTTGTAATTGGTGCGAACTACGCCAAGAAAAATGCCGGTATTTTTTTCGTACAATCATTATCTATTATCACACAGAAAGTTTAAGTCATGTAGCTAAAACCTTTGTGATATGCTGCGTTGTAAGACGAATTTTTAGAGCATTAAGTGGTATAGTATATAAAATCCAGCGCGAAGATCTACACGATAAACGGGTATTTGAAAGTGCGAAAATTGAATAAGGAAGAGAACGACTTGACGAACGAATAAGCATCAAAAGAAGTTAGTTGCTATGCATAGTAATAGCGTTGGAAATGTACCTTATGCTAATAAGTTGAGACATTATGACTATGATTAATAATAGCTGGTAAATAGGAAGGAAAGTTTGAAAAAACTAACCTACACATGCTCCTGCAAGACGTTCTCCTAGCCATTACAGTATTTTATAGACATTTTGTTTCTTCTATTACGCGAAATACTGCTTTACTTTTTGAATGCTGTCATCTTGTTTCACTTACTAGACACACATATCATTGTGAATGTACCGCCAAGTAGTGCAATTGCTCTCGGAAACGACGATAACATGCAATCTTGCATCTGATCTCGTTATCGATAAAAACGCCATGTCAAACAAGGGAACGCAAAACAATCACAAATAATGTCTTATCATCAGTATCAATACGTTACACGTCAACATCTTGTAGTTGTTGTGTCTGAGTTCGGGGCCTGTCAACCCAGTCACTCAGTCCAGAACTGAGACAGGTCCCTGATTGAGGTACAACAATATCACGAATACGTTATTATAAGAATTGTTACAATTAAAAACTGTGGCCTACCGCATCGCATTCTTGATAAGTGTTACTGTAATACAAGTCTTTTAAAACATTGCTAATTTTAAATCGGTCATTTTCATCAACACCGTAAATAAAAAATTGTTTAGATTGCCTTGTTCTTACCATTTTTTGGACATTACAAACTATCTTTTATTATGGCAAAGGGTGTAGCTATACAATGCGTTTATCGAATTGTACGCTTATTGGCGAACGTTTATTTTATAAGACAATGAATAGATTGATGAGAAAAAGGTAACAAATAAACATAATTGAACACACGGCGTAGATCAATGTGTGTAAAATGTAAATGAACTGTTAAAAAGAGATTTTAATTGGTCGTTCAAACCAATCGTGATATGATAATCACTCCGTATTAGTTTGTGTAATATAAATACTACAGCATTACATAATGAGAGCAAGAAAACAGCAGTATGAAAATACCTAATATGGATAATCATTAAAATATTGTCACTTAAACTAGCCAAATTAAGCGATATCTGCAACTTGATCGCCTGCATATTTTCAATCAAGAACAGTGCTTATCGATTGTGCTTGCTTCTTAGTATAATCCAGACGCTTCACACACTATATCTGCTGTTAAATATTACGCTACTGGCTGGCGGACAAACACTCCGATTATTAGTCATTGCTTTCAGTTATAGATACACGTATTAAATAGTTCAAGGTTTAGGCATGACATTACAATATATTCGTTGGAAAGAACGACCGAGCACCCTCATCTGTGTCACTACTAACAAACACTGGCGTCCTGCACCAAAATTTTTTTGGTTGAATGCATACAAACTTGAATGAGGATCTTACTGCAGAACTGATATGCATTCAAGACAACTAATTCAAGACGAGCACAGTCCTTTTGATCGTCTAAACTTAAACCAAAAAAAAGTTCAGCCTTTCCATGCAGCACATCATGATTGCATTGTCTGAAAAGAAATAGTAATTGACTAGGTCAATGAATAAAGCCGTGCAACATATTTAACAGTTTCATATGACGTTTTTCGTCTGACGACAATTCAACAACACTTGCTGTGGAAGCCTAAAAATACACGTATCTAATTTTATCAGCTACATTGTTATCTCGACTTTTTTGGTCAAGTGTTACGCTTTATAGTAATTAAATTTTGTGTGCAATGTCTAAAGTAGCTACAGTTGATATCGGCTATAACGCTTGTCTTCATCGTATAGCTTCTTTGAATATACAAATGCAATATTGAAATAAATCATTTGCTTCAACTTTAACAGTATTACAACACAAACTCTGTCTTTTTTCAGTCGATGAAACTGCGTTTTGCATAGCGTTTGATCCAATAACACAATCAAATAAAGTGAATTATTCATTGTTTGCGCTGCACGTTTATTTTGACTTCTTTTTATTAGTCAATTAATTTTTAGACACTGTTGAAATAATCCTTGTCTTCCCTAAGCCTCAGAACAAGAAACTTCTTATTCTAGTTATATCGCGAATGCCAAGCATTGACTGTCTATTTTTAACTCTTGCTTACTCCGGTAGTTAAACTATTGTTTGATATTGTGTAACTTATTGTGTGCCTTCCTCGCTTTATTACTCGGAATACTGCTTTCCTTTTCGAATGATTACCTAGTGCAATCGCTCTCGGAACGACGATAACATACAATCTTATCTGATCCCGTTATCGGTAAAAAACGCCGCGTAAACAAGGAATCAGAGATGCATACACTTTTTATGGAGCAATTTGATAAGAGATTGCATATTTTCGTGCGTGGTATGTAATGAATCTTTCCGGTATCTTTGCAATTTGCTCCGATCACCGAAAATGTGATATGTTTTGATGTTCTGTTTTGGAAATCTTTGGGCTCGAGAATGAATTACCTAAAACAATGTGTAGGGGACGATATACATCTGATTGATCGATTACCAAAGCAGAGTCAGGTACTTGCAGGTACTGTACTCGAATCAATGAATGAGACAACACTAAAGGAAATGGCTATGAAAGACGTAAGATTACTTAATAAGATGTATTACATCGAATTGTTGTACAAATGTAAATGTCTATTTTTGGTTACGTTCGCTCGACGCTGATCTAAAGTCACGACAACATACATCGAAACAAAGCCTTTGATCTAATATGTAACAACTGACTTTTAAGCATTCTAATTTTTTTTTTTACAATAAACCTTTTTGAATTAGTGTGTCGGCATAATATAAAGTCAATTTGCAATGACATAATCTAAACTGACAGAGAACAAACACGCACAACAAACAAATACCGGTCGGTGCATGTTCTTAAATGCGTCGTTACCTTTTAGGAAAATTATATTGAGAATGAACTTGTTTACGAACGAGTTATCTAAACAAGGCAAGGACAACTAAAAATAAACAACGCGAATAAAAATAATCGACTCTGTGAGAAAGTAACAAAATTTTCATACTAAAATCAGGATGCCATTTTGATAATGTATTGTTGTCATGAGTTTCTCATTTCTTTTAACCGAGTATATGAGGTACCCTTTTTGGCAAAAACGTTAGTATGAGAATACTTCGTGTGCTATTTTTAGCCTGCCGAGTGGAAAGATCAAGAACACTTTCTAAAAAAAAAGTTGCAATGCTTTATATGGAAATTCTACGTGCGTCTATGACAATAAATGCCTGAGGTATTGGATATATACAATAGTAATATAGGAGCAATTCAGTTGCTCACAGCTATATAAACCATCCTTTCCGCCCTCCTTCATTCCTCATCAACGCAAATACGTTGTCTCGAATACAATCTGAAATAAGCATGACTGCCTATACTCAACTGTTGCTTGTAGCATTTATTGCTCTCTTCTTTATTCAATTCAACGAAGCATTGCCTGCATCCGACTCTGCCCTCGAAGAACGCTGGAAGGATCCATACTATTACTGTTGTTACTACTACTATAATGATAAGAGTGACAAACGGGGTCTTGAAAGAAGATGGGAAAACAAATGTGATGAATACAAACCAGACAAGAGAGGTTTAGCTGAACGAAATGATGAATTGGTTAAACGTTGGGGCAAGCCATCCTACTACTGCTGCTACTATTATTACGATGAAGACTCCAAGAAACGAGGATTGGAAGCACGCAGCTTGGAACAACGCTGGGATGATAATTGCAAAGTCAATAAGCCCGACAAGAGAAGCGAGAAACGTTGGGATGAATGTAAACCAGAAAAACGTGGTTTAGAAAAGAGGTGGGATCCGTACTGTTGTTGTTATGAATATGAATAAAGTAAGTAAAGTTTTCTTTCATTGTATTATACAATTAAATCAATAATAAGATTTCTAATCAACTTGACTCTGGTTTTTTTTTCATAGTTGAGCAACAGATTGTTGAGAAGTAACTCTTTGGTTACTATTTTGAGTCACATCATTTTTTAAATTAGGCCTTTTGAATTAAGTTATTTTATTCTGCAATTGCATGTTAACACTAGTGTAAATCAATAAATTATTGGGTATTTTTGCGTGCACGTTAACTAAATCGTACCTAAAATTGTTGAATGTAAATTTACCGAACAATGTGTGTACATGTCTTTCTTTACAAAGATAATTGAACAAAACAGTATTCGAATTGTTGTTATTGTCTGCAATATAAAAAGCCTTTAAGTTTGCCAGATTTGTTACAAAACATCGATTTGACTTGCACTTGCCCACGGTAATATTAATAAAGTCACCCCCGAAGCGGTGGTTACTATCTGGACAATGATTCTAGTTCACATAAACAATTTTCGTTGGTAGTATTTATTATCAAATGAATTTCGTTGACTAAACATGGACTTGTTATCTCTGCAATTCTCTCACGTGACATTTTTAAATTCAGAGAAAGCAATACATTTCGGTTTAAGTATACTGTAAGTATCATAATCAAGCTAATTAATTTCTAAACCCTAATCAACCATGTTATAGTGCTAATAACAACGAACATATTCATTTTGGTAATATAAATATCTTTTGTTCGACTGTAGTACTGAGATTTTATGGGGTCCGGTTCATTTCATCGACAATCATTTCACCGACAGTACGTTTCACCGACATAAATTTCATCGAAAACCAATGAACAATGTGTCATGTGAAGTGACTGTCGGTGAAGTGTACTGTCGATGAAATGATTGTCGATGAAATAAATGCCTCCCGATTTTGTTAGCATGTATTACCATTAACCGGCTTATAATGCAATGAATGCTATTTCGATATTATAAGGTTGTTCGGATAAACTAACTCATAATCATAGTAAGAGTCAGGGTCAAGAACGTTACGACATGCGGAAAGGGGTGAGAGTATGAACAGTGACTGCGATACTACGATACTAGCATACCCCTTCGCCAGTGATGTTGCATTATCAACAATCGCATTGATTATTGTTTGTGTCAACGTAATCAGACTATTTAAATCTCGTTGTAACGCGAGTCTTGCTAATTTTAAATTGACGTTCGGTTCTACCTTGGTCTTATCACCTGTCATCAACAATGTGAAATGTGATGACTTGTATGTGCTCAACACTCGATTCAACTATTTGCCATTCACGCATGCAAGAGCTAGTTCCTTTACTATAATAAAGACAGCTTGTACAATAATATTTTGTTATCTACAAAATCAGTAAAAGGCAAGCCGAGTGTTTGTGGATTGCATTCTTAGTGGCAAACGAAAATAATAGCTGACAGTAACAAATAAACAAAGACACCAAATGCAAGATAATCACAATGGAGAATGTGTACATGAAATGTGTTACGCAAAAAAAGTAAAAAAACAATAGTATGAAAATACCTAATATGGATGATCGTAACCAAATATTTGTACTGCGGCGGAAAATATGGAATATTACAGACAGTTACTATTTCGCATAATACACTAACGTATTTGACTGTGCTTATCGATTGTACAGTACATTAGCTCTGGTGAAAAACTCGTAGATTTAAGCAAGGCATAAACACATATTCGTTGTATGTGTCGGGACCAAAAACACTGGCGTACTGCTTTGGAGGCAAAACTGAACGGATATTCTTAGACAATTGAAAGGAGAACAAACACAAGCGCAATGCCCAAATCAAACCAAATATTTCTAATTGACTGCATGCGTTCAAACAATATGTGCTCAGCCTTTCTCGTCATTCGATTTTTAATTTTGGAATGTAGCCTACTATAATAGACATTAATCCTGATACAAAAATACAGAATGAGCGCTTCGTGATTGCATTGTCTGCAAATAAATAGTAAATAACCTGGTCATGAATGAAGCTGTACAACAAATTTAACAGGTTTTAGTTGACATTTTTAGCCTGACAACAATTTAATGACATTTCCTTGTGTAAACCTGAAAATGCGTATATCCTATTTTTATCACCCCCCATTGCACCTCTTACCTTTTTCGGCCAAAATCTATATTTAAAATTAATTAAGTGTTACGTTTTATAGTAGCCACTTTGACTAATTCGGGTCAAATTTGTAAAGTTCGAGACTAACTGCGGTTGGTATCAACGAGAACGTTTGTCTTTTACTGTATAATTTATTTGAGCAAGCTTGTCTTTTACTGTATAATTTATTGAGTAAGCTTGTCTTTTACTGTATAATTTATTTGAGTAAGCTTTCTTTTCGTCATTAATACGAGTTTGAGCGCAGTTATTGAAATTATTCGTTTCAACGATAACAGCAATATAACATAGACTCGGGTCGCCTTAAAAATACATTTACCGCTGCAAAAAAACTCTCTTTAATCCAGTGCACAGTTTATCAGTGCAACTGTTTATTCGTATCGCATTCGAGTCAATAACACATCTAATAATAAATAAACTCATCCGCCGTTCACTGCCGCACGCATTAATTTGACGGTTTTCTATTGGTCTGATTTAAATTTAGATAATGTTTGAGGAGTAACGCCCCGTCTTGTCTGTGTACGCGACCTTTTGTCTATATTGTCAATACATTTGTTCTACTAAACCTTCGCTGTCTATTTTTAACTCGTGTATATTCCGTAGTTTATAATACTGTTTGATATTGTGTGATATGTTGTGAGCTTTCCTCGTTCTCACTGCTATATAAAGGGGGGGATCCAAGCTCTTTTTCCACATTGCTCAGGCAACGAATTGACGACTTTACAAGAACAAGCTTACAGCAATCGATCCATCTTATAACGATACAATTTACTCTTGCGCTTATTCGAAAACGAAAACATGAACAAAATCGCCTGCTTGATCTTTCTCTTGGTTACCCTTCTCGCCGTGATCTCTAAGCCAGCTGCAGCTGCCGGACTCGAGAAAAGATGGGATAACTGCTGCCCTGTTGCTCTCTGTGTATTCAAAAAGGGTAGCAGTTTCGACCGACGCAAGACTAAACGTAATACAGACCTGTTTAATGGATTTATTCAATTCACGGAAACGTTCAACAACCAGTTATATATCAGCGGTTTCTTGGATGTTGAACACGTTCAGAAGGAGGTCGCGGCTGATGATCTTTCACCTCCATTTGATGTACATGTAAATAAATGCAACGACGTAAGCTTTGGTAATATCGAAACCGGCCTTGATTTGGACGATGTCGATGATATTTTCGATCTGCCATTCGTCAAAGTTGTTAGCAATAAGAAAGTTAGCGATGTTGTTGACCAATGCTGTATTGTAGCAAAGGACAAGGGCACAAGCAATCACAAAGTTTTGGGCGTTGCAAAGGTGAAGCAAGCCATAAAGTGTAACCCTAACAGCATTGTTTTAGGCAGCGACTTTAATTAAATTGAGCAATAGTAGATAGTCTTTTCTTTGTTGTGCTTAATATTATATTATTCAATAATTAGTAAAAGAGCTTTCTGCAACGATTAGGATGTGATATATTTTCATAACAATAAATGGTGTATACTTATTGTGCTCTGTGATTTGATAAACTAAATGGTCACTGTATATTGTTACTGCGTATTGTATGTATGGCAAAAGCTTTAGACGGTTAATTATCTAAACGCGCTTAAACTCTCACAATTAAGACATCTCGGAATTGTGTTATAGTGCTCATTCTTCAAGAGGGTTCAACTTCTTTATTTGTTGCTTCCTTTGCTCGACCAAATTTTCCAATTTACTTCAAACTTAATTATTGTTTAGAGTAAAGTTAGAGTTTTGTGATAAAGTTTTAGTTTAGCAATAGTATTTATTCATAGTTAATTGGTTTAATTCGCTAATAGTAGACATATTGCATAGCAGTGTTCTACTTCTTATTACTAGTCAACAATTAGTTTATATTGTCAGATTGGACTATTTATTCTTGCTCACAGCGGCGGTGAAAAGCGTATTCGAAACCATTGTTCTTTATAAATCTTTATTATTGCCTTAAAGTCTTACTCGAATGCGTTAAATGACATGTAGGTAGCTTTGCCGTCGTCGCTAGCAATAATAAACGCTATTAGGTATTTCTTGTCATAGCAATCTTACATTCATCGACTTTTGTAGTTACGTTGCCATTATTTGTAGACCATACGACGTTTATCTAGATGTTATTAATTTTCACTGTGGTACGAATAAAAGCAGAAAGCACTGACTATGAAAATTTACAAACGTGGAATATTAAAATTCAAAGTTGTATTAATTATTATGCAACATACAAGTTTTTCGAACCTTTAAAGACATGTTTATATATTCGTCGCTTTATTCGCATCTTCTGGTTCATGCATGCTACTCTGGGTATATAGAAATTATGTGCTGTAGCTCGCAAATTTGCGCCATACGGGTAAAAGGATTTATGCACGTGCAGAATGTACAGACACGTGAATCGTTACCGACAAAAATTCTCACGGACAAGTGATTTGTCACGCAAACCCCGCATGAACCATGAACAAGGGGTGATGTACAGAGTTTAAGGAAAAGTTAACAATAAAAGTGACACAAACATTGGAGGTCTTCAGACCCGTATTTCCTTATTATTTTTTTTTGTGAAACAGCAAACCGCCCGCTTTGATGGTTTGATGGAGACAAAGACAACGCCCTCATACTTGTCGAAATTAGGTAGAATGCTTACAGGTACGCTACCATGTCTTTTTCTATGAACATTCTTGCTGAGAATATCGTAATACAATTATAACTCTTGCTCATTTGTTTTTAAACTCTTAGTTGAAGTACTGTTGATACTGTTTGATTTCCTTTCTTTCACTGCTATATAAATTCTCTTCCTCAACAACAAATCGACAACTTCACAAGAACAAGTCTTACAACGGCAGACCTTTGTTGTAACGATACAAATTACTTGTCTGTCATGGTTACCATTATTGTGTGATCTCTACACCAATTACTGCTGCCAGTTTTGAAAGGATAGCCAGTATAATTTCTATCCTTCGAAAAACAAGTTTATTCCAACCTAATCTTGATCGAACTATGATATTCTCAGTAACTCAACCCCGTCCGTGTAGTCTTAATACACAGTCAACCATGTTAATATACTTCTTTCGAATGGTCATCAAGTCCCATTTGACGGATAAACGATATACTATATAATGTAGTTATCTGCTTTCAACTATTAAAATTACACTACTGTGATCAAATTACTTGACTTGTATATAGCTGCCTCATTGCTATACTCAACTGTTGTGAGTAGCCCTTGTTGCTCTCTTCTTCTTTGTTCAATCCAACGATGCGCCTTTCCCGCATCAGACGCTTCCTGGAAAAGCGCCGGAATAGGAAGGATCCATAATATTATTTCTGTCACTTACTATTGTTCGAGTGGCAAGCAAAGTCTTGAGAGAGCAATGTTCAGATAAGAGAGATTTGGCCGAACAAAATTGATCTAAATTGGGGAAAATGATTTTACTACTGCTGTCATTATTATTACGATAAAAGCTCCAAGAAACGAGACTTGGAAGAACGTGGCTTAGAATAATGATGGGATAATAAGTGAAAGTCTATAAGTCCAGCAAGGCAACAATCATTGGTAAATTCTTACTAAGATTATTCTCATTGTAATATTACTTAAGTGGAAATTAACGATCAAATAGACAACCCTAAGCGCTGGTCACAATTTACACAAATGGTTTTATAGTTTATGTGGATAAAATCGTTGGAAATACCAGCTGCTCTTACAACTCAAACTGACAATAACTTTGTCGAACAAACAGCAAATATACAATCTCGTTGACCATTATTGCTAGGGCTATGCAAATTATTATCCTATAACATTTTATCTATCGCATTATATCAATAAACGTTGTTTAGTATTAAGAGTAATGTCTTGTCAATACGTTGCACGCCAACATCTTTGTTAATAGAACGTTCAATTCGACTGTAGAACCGAACACAACATTTCGTCAAGACACTGACTATTATTATAACTGTGGCTTATTGCATATCGGAATTCGGGATAATTATAAGGCCTATTATTATGCATATCCTCAATGATTATAAATAAAAATTATTTTTGGATTGTTATTTTGTCTTTGTTCTTGCCAATTTATAGACATTACCTTCAAATACAAACTATTGTTGATTATGGCGAAAGGCGTAGCTATACAATTCTGCAAATGCGTGAATGACGAATAGATGAATCATGCGTTTATGATTGTATTCTTATTGGTAACTTGTATTCCATTATAAAAGGCAGACAATGACTATGTAGCCGTATGACTTGTGTAATGTGTTACATAAATTTTGTTGAAAACGGCAGTATGAAAATGCCTAATATGGATCATCATCCATTAAAATGTTGTCACAAACTAGTCAAATGCAAAATTGTTACACAATACAACTTTCGCGTACGTAGCAGATCGTCTACCGTATTTTCATAAGAACAGTGATTATCGATGCAGTTATTACTTGTGCTGCATGATCCAGACTATATCTGCCGTTGAATGTTACGCTACTTACTGACAGACAAACACTCCGATTGTTAGATCAGTAGATACACGTATTAAATAGTTTAGTATATTCATTCGTTGGAGAGATAGTATAAGACTTGGAATATCGACTGAGCACCCTCATCTGTGTCACTATTAATGAACACTGGCGCACTGCAAACTTTATTATTTTTAGTACTTACTAGTTGAATGCAAACTCGAATCTGTAGATAACTAGATAAGCATTCAAGACGAGCACAATCCCAGTTTTATTGATCGTGAAAATAATGTTTAGCCTCAGTCAGTAACAATTATCGTTAAAGGGCTCAAGTATGATAAGGAGATTTACACCGTCGAATTGATTATTGCATGTGTCTCCAAATCATAAACCTCTTTAAGTTTTGTTGTAAGCACAAGTCTTTCAAAAACATCATGATCGATTTCCTTGCCTTATCATCATCATCATCATCATCATGTAACAAAAATTATTTTTAGATTGCATTATCTCAACAATCGACTTGTCTCTTGTTGACATCCTTTCACTCACACAAATTCTATCTTTGATTATGCATGAAGAAAAGATGAGATCGTGCGTTTGTAGATCGGTGTTCGTGGATCGGTATTCATGGCCTGGGTACGAAAAAATAGACAGGATGAGGACACAATTAAATCAATTCAAACCTAGCCTTATAGACAGGCGTAAATACTTTATTAAGGATATGTGTAACATGTGTTACTTAATAATAATAATTAAGCAGAGTATGAAAATACTTAATATGGTAGTACATAAAAGTCCAAACTAACCAAATTGATACTCGCGACATAAAATCAATGTACGCTATGTATTTCGTTTAAAAACAGTGCATATCAATTGTACTCGGTGGTTCACACAGCTATACATATTGATCATTCACAGCTTACGTTCCTTTGAGAGACAGCATAACATTGAATGAGCACTCTCATTCGTGTCAGGACCAATGAACGCTGATAGGCCACTAGATTTAATATTACTACTCTAAGCATAGAAGCCCAATTCCTTCAGACGTCTGTGCTGTGGCGTTGAAATGCAAAATAAATTTATTTTTTTCCCATGCATTTGTCATTCGATTATCAAACCTTGAAACGCAGCATTCATGAACAAATTTGTATCGCCGAAAATTCTGTTCGGAAATCTAAAAATACTCATTCTATTTTTATGAATGCTGTCTCGACTTTTTTGTAAAAACTTTATGGTAATTACTTAGATCAGATTTTGTGCAAGTCTAAGACTAGCCACTACTAAGAACGCTTATCTTTTACTGCATAGTTTACTCGGATGGGTTTTTTGCGAGTGCAGTCATTGAAATTGTTTCAACAATAACAGCATTATAACACAAACGCTGTTCTTCTTTTATCAATAACACATCAGATTGCAAGTAAACTTATCCACCGTTTCCTGCCGCATTGATTAAGGGTAACACCTTGCTTGTGTACGCGACCCTTGTTTTCCCAAAGCCTTAAAATAATAACGTTGTACTGCTTACTATATTGTGAATGCGTTTGTTAACTGTCTATTTTTAACTCGTGCATATTCTGCAGTTTAAAATACTATCTGATATTGTATGCCTTCCTCGCTTTCACAGCTATATAAACGAGGAGATCCAAGCTCTTCTTCCACATCGCATCGACCACAGCGACTCCGACAAGTTTACAACAAGGCTTACGACAATCGATCCATCTTATAACGATACAGTTTACTCTTCTACTCGAAAACGAAAACAATCCATCAAAATGAGCAAAATCGTCTGCTTGACCTTTCTCTTGGCTATCATTCTCACTGTGATCTCTCCAACCGCGGCTGCCGGACTTGAGGAAAGATGGCGCAATCATCAAAATAATAATTGTTGTCCAGTCGCTATCTGCGAATTCGAGAAGGGTGACCCCTTCATACATAAACGCAATACAAACCCGTTTGATGGATTTATTCAATTTACAGAAACGTTTAACAACCAGCTGTTTGTCTCCGGTTTCTTGGATGCAGAAAACTTTCAGAAGGATACCACTGCTGGCAAACAAGGCCTTGACGTTCACGTAGCCGATTGTAACCTCAAAAATATTGATGGCGTACTTGATTTGGACGATGTCGATGACATTTTCGATAGGCCTTTCGTTGGCGTTATCCCCAACAAGAAAGTTCGTCAACTTGTTGGCCAATGTTGTATTGTGGCAGATGATAAACAAAATGATCAAATTATTGCCGTTGCAAAGGTGAAGCAAGCCATTCGGTGTGGGCGTAACAAAAAGATTCTTATAAAGGATCTCTAATTAATTAGTTGATAGGCTTTTTCCCTTGTTGTGCTTAACTTTATATTTATTATTACATATATGTTTGTATTTGTAAAGAGCGTTCTCTCGTGCAAAGATTAGAATGTGATAGTATATTTTGTAAAACAATAAAATTTACTATTGTGCCAGCATAATTGCAGATAAACGATCGGTGTATGCGCATTCTACTTTGAAATTTGATAAACTAAACTGTTACTGTATATTGTGCACATATAGCAATATAGCAGTATATAATATTTAAATTTTAGCTGTAGACGGTCCCAAATAGCAGGAATATCAGCAAGCATGATAGTGCTAAAAGCTTTCAAATAATGATTGGTAAGTGGATTAAAAGGGAGGACTAATTATTTCCAGTGAAAAACTTCTCGACAAGGAGAGCTTTTGAAATAAATGATCGAACGAAGGAATGTTACACTCGTGAGGAGTGATAGTCAAAAGCACTTTTTATTCGACGATCACTAGCGGTATTTTGTACTATCTTTAATTTTGCAGTTCACATACAATGGATTGTTTTTGCTAATGACAGACGACTGCAAAAACTAGCAAACTCTGTTTATGATAAAGGCCTTTGCAGGAAATTTTTTTCATAAATACAGAATATGCCTACATAACAGTGGTTCCGCCCCTTATTTCTAAACCAACAATTAATTTGTGTCGTCAGATTAGACTATTGTTAAATTTTGACGTTCTATCTTACAGCAGTGAAAGCGTAATCCATTCTTTTTAATATGTCTTGGCTGTTTATACATGCTTACTGAACTAAGATTGAGAACATTAATAAAGCGTATCCTCTATCTAACATTGGTTATGGCGTAATGCAATTTAAAACTACTATACACTACACTAATGTCGTAACAACCAGATGTTATGATGCATCAAGTATTAACAGTCAATACTTAACCACAGGAGCCGAATTTGTGTCGAGTCGCTTTGCCGTAGATAAATTATTAATAAGCAATCATTAATTGTAATAACAAACATTTCTGCGGTGGTCAGAATTGTGACGTCTACCTCTATATTATAGTATTACACTAATACGGGTTCTTCATGTCCTAATAAAGCATTATTCACACATATACAACCTTTGCCAGACTATGGAAACATATTTGTATCTTTGTCTTTCATATATGAGCGATCGATTCTGTTTGATATACTGAACTACCGAGTTTGGTGCTTTTAATATCCTGACAATTTCATTACAACATGGACAAGAGTGTATACACACACAGCAATATCGACTAATTTGTTTGTAGCTTTCTATTAACGCCTGCAGAGTTCAAATGTCCACTACCAAGAATACTTTTTTCTGACAATAGGATTGATGAAAAACCGACATTCGCTAACACCCTTCAATCAAATATCGGCTTGTGCACTATACCGATAAAATATTATTTAAACGCAATTTCTAAACTTCAACATGTTATATAAGAACAAACGTATTCGTTTGGCCGCAATAGAACACTGTATATGTAATACCGATGCAAAATTTTGTTTAAATGAGCGTATTGTTATTACTCAATACCAACAAGCATTTAAGATGGGGAAATAAACAAAAATAGCGCATTTTGAGAACGTTCTGACAAACTGATATCAAGGATAAATTATTGGTTTGCGGGGATAAGAACGTTTGGTTCATTGCGAAATATATATTTCTAAATTCGGGAAATAGGACGATTACAGTCACTTAGAATATAACAAAGTTGTCCGTTTGGACGGGAACAGCCTCTTCGGAAAGGGCTTAATTATGATAAAAAAATTTTACACCAGTCGCATTTATTATTGCATGTGTCTGTTGTGTCTGAGAGTTTGAGTGAGACTTGTCTTAGTCCAGAATCCAGTTGTCTCAGTTCGAAGCCAGACACTCAATCTAGAACTGAGACAGGTCCCCAACTAAAGTACAACACTCCAATAACTGAAAAACTTCTCAACAAGTAGAGTTTTTGAAATAAATGATCGAACGAATTACACTCATGAGGAGTGATAGTCAAAAGCAATTTACAAATATATATTTATTCACGCTTGCTGACATTCTACTATTTGGGCGCTCGAATAAAATTCTGTTGAATAACAAGCCGCGAATTCCAAGACACTTTCAACCGCCTACAGCTAAAATTTAATACTATACACAGCTATATTGCTATATGTGCACAATATACAGTAACAGTTTAGTTTATCAAATTTCAAAGTAGAATTCGTTTATCTGCAATTATGCTGGCACAATAGTAAATTTTATTGTTTTACAAAATACACTATCACATTCTAATCTTTGCACAAGAGAATGCTCTTTACAAATACAAACATATATGTAATAATAAATATAAAGTTAAGTACAAGGGAAAAGACTATCAGCTAACTAGAGATCACTTATAACGATTTTTTTGTTACGCCCACACCGAATGGCTTCCTTCACCTTTGCAACAGCAATAATTTGATCATTTTGATTATCATCTGCCACAACACAGCATTTGCCAATAAGTTGACTAACTTTCTCGTTGGGGAAAACGCCAACGAAAGGCTTATCGAAAATGTCATCGATGCTGTCTAAATCAAGTCCGTTTTCAATATTTTGGAGGTTACAATCGGTTACGTGAACGTCAATGCCTTGATTATCAGCAGTGGTATCCGACTGAAAGTTTTCTGCATCCAAGAAACCGGAGACAAACAGCTGGTTGTTAAACGTATCAGTAAATTGAATAAATCCATCAAACGGGTTTATATTGCGTTTAGCGTGGCGTCGGTGATCGAAGGGGTCACCCTTCTCGAATTCGCAGATAGCGACTGGACAACAATTATTATTTTGCCATTTTTTCTCAAGTCCGGCAGCCGCGACTGGCGTAGAGATCACAGTGAGAAGGGTAGCCAAGAGAAAGGTCAAGCTGACGATTTTGCTCATTTTGATGGATTGGTTTTCGTTTCGAGTAGAAGAGTAAACTGTATCGTTATAAGATGGATCGATTGTCGTAATCCTTGTTCTTGTAAACTTGTCGGAGTCGCTGTGGTCGATGCGATGTGGAAGAAGAGCTTGGATCTCCTCGTTTATATAGCTGTGAAAGCGAGGAAGGCATACAATAGTTTAACTACCGGAATATGCAAGAGTTAAAAATAGACAGTCAAAATTTGGTAGAACAATGCATTTGCAATATAATTAGAGTATAAACAGAGTGTTACACAATTTCGACATATTAATTGACCAATAAAAAGAAGTCAAAATAAACGTGGCGGCGCAAACAATGAGTGATTCACTTTATGTTATCGAATCGAATGCTATACGAAACGCAATTGCATCGACTGAAAAAAGACGGAGTTTGCGTTAAAGTTGAAGCAAATAATTTCAATATTGCGTTTGTATCCATAAAAACTTGTTCAAATAAACTATACAATAAAAGACAAGCGTTATAGTCGATATCAACTGTAGCTAGTTTTAAACTTGCACAATAGTTAATTAGAAAGTAGTTATTATAAAGCGTAACACTTGACCGAAAAAAGTCGAGACAAGAATGTTTCTGATAAAATTAGATACGTGTATTTTTAGGCTTCTACAAGGAAGTGTCGTTAAATTGTTGTCAGACAAAAAAAGTCGATTGGATCTGTTGTACAGCTTCATTCATCAGAATTTGGCAGTCTGAATGACGGAAAGGCTGAATTTTTTGGTTTAAGTTTAGACAATCATGTGTGCTCTCATCTATTAAAATTTGCATCCAAACAGTGAGTACTAAAAATAAATAAAGTTTGGTAGCAGTGCGCCAGTGTTTCTAGTAGTGACACAGATGAAGGTGTTCAGTCGATATTTCCGAGTCTTATGCTATCTCTCCAACGAATATACTGTAATGTCATGCCTAACTGTATCTATAACTGGAAGCCGATTGGAGTGTTGGTCCGTCGGTAGCGTAATGTTTAACGGATATAGTGTGTGAAGCGTCTGGATCATGCATCATGTAATAACTGCAAGTAATTGAGAAGCAAGTACAATCGATAAGCACTAAAAATATGGTAGGCGATCTTATGCGAAAGTTGCGTTGTGTAATAATTTTGCATATTCGATATTCCCCAGTACTAATTTGGCTAGATAATCGTACATATTAGTATCTTGCTTCGAATATCCAACTGAAAATCATTTTTAACTTGCACTTACACAATGGACAATTACTGCATATCATAATTGATCTACGCCGCGCCGTAGTTACTTTTTTCTCATCCGCCTACCTTTTTTAATGAAATAAAGTTCGCTAAGAAGCACACAATCCAGAAGCACACAATCCAGAAACACACAATCCAGAAACACATGATTCATCTATTCGTCATTCACGCATCTGCAGAATTGTATGGCTACGCCTTTTTGCCATAATTAAAAATAGTTTGCCTAATCACTTTCTGATCAACTTATTTGCTACTTTATTCACTTTTTCCCGAATTCCGATAATATGCAGTAGGCCACAGTTTTTAATTGTTATGATATCATTTTGCAGAATTTTCTATTTATAAATGCTTAAAATTATATAATTTTTTTAATAGTCAGTGTCTTGACAAAATAATGTATTCGGTACTACAGTCCAATAAAATGTCCATTAACAAAGCATATGTGCAAGACGAATACATTCGTTATTAATAGATGTCGACGTGTAACGTATTGATACTGATGATAAGACATTCCGCGCGATTTTCTAAAAACCGATAAGCGTTTTTAGATAAAAATGTCACGAAATAGTAATTTGTATAATCCCAGTGATAGTTTATGTTTATGTTCAACGAGATTGCTGTTTATTTAATACTGATAAATCTATTGTCAGTTTTTGAGTTGTAAGCAGCAGACTTACCAGCTTAGGATTGTCTATTTAATTATATCGTTAATTCCTACTAACTTGATTTGCCGAAACTAATAATAATAAGGGTTATCGTATATTTTGTATAACGCATACTATTCCAGTTTAAGTAATATTACTGTTGTACCTCAGTTGGGGACCTGTCCTTAGTTCTGAGTTCTGGACTGGGTGACTGGGTTTACAGAACCATTACGAATGATTGCGGGTAACTAGAGCAAGCCAGTGACAGGTGAGAATGTGTGTATGAGAGAGATAAAAAGAACAAGAGAGTGTAAGAAAGAAATAAAGCCAGAATGAGAAATCAAAAGTGAGAGAGTGAGAAAGTAATAGCAAAGAGTGTGATCGCGATAAAGAGAGGAGGTGAGCAAAGGAGTGGTATTGAGAGTGGTATTGAGAGTGGTAAGCAAATGAGAGACTGAAAGTGTGTTAGAAGGGGAGTGAGAGAATGATTAAAAGGCAAGAGAGCGATTGAGAGAACGAAAGAGTAAGAACTTGAAAGCGAATAAGAGTGTGATTGAAAGAGTGCGAGTGATTACAAGAGAGAGAGGGCAGGAGGGTGAGTTTGAAAGAGATCAAAAGACAGAGGGGAGATCAAGAGTGCGATCACTAGAGAAAAGAGTAACTAAATAAAAGTGAAGAGAACGGGAGAGTGATTGGGAGAGTGAGAAAAAGAGCAAGAGTGTAAGAGATTAAGAAAGTTATCGAAGAAGCAAAAGGGGAAGATGGAATTAACAATATGTAAATTCCATGAGCTTTGGATTCTCGGTTGTTGTGAAGATTGATTTCGCGTTTTCGAAAAATCAAGCCAATCGGTATATGCAAAGTTCAAATCATACTTAATATTCTGTGTCAATTTTTTAACACACGCATCGACAACAGTTACGATTAATAAATGTTTAAATACTATGAGCATGGGATTCTTGGCTGTTGAGTAGTTAGTTATTGACGACGAAAATCGATTTTGCGTTTTGAAGAATCAAGCCAATCGGGATATAAATATTCGCGCTCCATGTACTAGTGGCGCAGCTACAACACCTGTTTGTAATATCTCGATAGGCTAAACATTTCTAATTTTTCAGCCCTTGACAAAAATTTATAAAACTTTGTACTCATGTATGAATACAATCTCTTAATGAAGATTTTGCGCTTTTGTCGATTGAAATTCCAGGACAAAATCAGCAAAACTCTTTCGTTGACTCTAACAACCTATTTTTAGTAAAGAAAGGTGGAAAAATATTTATAAAGCAAAATATGTGTAAAACGATACTGCAAACAAGTTTGATTAATGCGTAAAATACTACGATTTCATAGCATGATCCGTAGGTATAGGGGCATGACCTGCAATGGAGTAATTTCGACTTTTTTGCCGTCTTTTTTATTAAAAATTTCTTCTGGTCTTTTACAGTAATATATTTTAAATTAAAACTTGTATAGAAAATAACAATTTTTTATTTAGAATTTTTGTATCTTTGAACCTGCTGGAATAATCGATGCATATGAACACGACTTTTTAGAATTTATGACAAGTTGGTTTGTACTATCTATAGCCTTTACAAAGAGTGGTGATTTAATTGTAATATTTTTTGAAAGAATATCTTCTTCAATATTGCAATTCTCTGATACGTTTATTTTATTTTTCCTAGGCAAAAACCATATCTAACACATGTATTACGTTCTGGTGGCATCTCAGAGATGTTGATTTTGACCTGGAATTTTGATTATGCATTCTGTTTCACAACGTTTAGATTGTTTTGATAGTTTTGGATTTTGTCTTTCTAGTTTTCTCTGTAAATTGGTGGTTATCTCTTTTTAGTAACTAACGTTGTTACATAAACTCTTTGACACCAGTACAATCTTTCAATTATGAAAAACGTCGTGTCGAAACTGCAAACAACGTTTACGCCTACGCCCCAAAAACTGTGTCAAATTAATAGAAAATAATCCATTTTTGGAAATATTGAATAGCAAACAATTATGGTATTGAATTTATTGTTAATAAAGTCTTTAAGTAAAGCAAAATAATTACTGGTGGAAGTCCTGTATTTATTATTGAAAGTTAGAAAAAAAGCAGTAGTGTATTAACTATTGCTCACGTATTGATCCCTGATTACTCCTAATAATTAGACAATTGGGGTTTTTTTTTTCAAAACCTACACTTGCTCATTTTTCTACCACTTTTTATTATGACACAAAATATGTGTAAGTGCTGTTTAAACAATGATTTTTCAAACCTTTCTTTGTGTTGAGTTTTAAACATCTCATTACTGATCTTAACCAAGATTTTCGATTCACGATACCTGCAATGATATTGTCGACGCTAATCCTCAATTGCTATTTAACCTCGAGTTATACGTCGATGGGATTAATCCGAGAGCCTATAAGTCAGGTTTAAACTACGTTTATTGACAATTAAATAGCAATCGTATGTGCTAAACTAGAACGACTCGATGGACAAGATCGACCCGCTCTTAATAGAGGGACTAATGATTTCTCGCTCTACCAGTACGATTACCAGGGAAATAGAAAATAAATTATACGTTTCAAATGCGACTTATTAGAGTATCAATGAGCTACTCTGTTATTAAATGAGATCTGAGTTATCGAAGAAACTTGATAAAGATTAGCAAAATTTGAGCACTTTATGGTTTTACCAACTAATTCAGCCGCTCTAGAACAGTTTTTTTGCACGCACTGCGCCACGCCCCCATCTTCGCGATATGGATTAATTTTAGGGCATTTGCGGGCACACTAGTTTATTGTACGATGATGGCACATAAATAATCAGAGATAATTAGGCTTGACACAAGTCATATAATATAATCTGCTTGTCCATTTATGAGTATAACTTTGGAATACAGCGACAATTATATTCATAAACAATCTCCGGTTAATTATGGTTGTTTGTTTTTACTTGCAGTAATATTTGACTATCAATATTAATCAATAACATAGGTTACATGACAGGTCAGATAAATCAACCTGACTATTCAGCTGTTTACGATTTTACTTATGACAGAAGTGTCGATATTTAACAGGAGTAGAGTTCGCCAAAGCCTCGATTGAAATAACTATCTCGAGGCTCGTGATTATCCGCGCTCTCGTGGACATTGTTCCGAGTAGATATAAAATATTATCATATCGGATGATCGAAAATGTAGTGTTGCCAGTTTGGGATTCCTGTTCTATATAATTTGAGTAAATCCAACCTCTGGTTATGTACGGTGACACCTCTATAAATGCAACCCCTATAAGTGCAATACCCCTCTAAATGCAACACTTTGTCCGGTCCCAAGCATGGGACTTAGTGAATAAGTGCAACCCGTTTTCTGCAATTGCAATGGATTTGTGGTCCCGTCCTAATGGATTTATTTCTCTAAGTGCAACTCACGTGATTACCGTAATGTTATTTGTTACAATATAAGCAGTAGTAAGTAGTAGTACAAAATCTGTTTCGACTTTAGTTTCGCGCGCACAACATTATTTGTTATATATACAGTTTTACGTGTGAGAAAGAATTCTTTGTGAAGCATCGCTATTTTCTTTTCAGTATTCGAGTTTGATCCCGCTTTGAAACAGTAGATTATTAGATTTAGTTGTGAAAAGGAAGAATTCTTCAGTGTTTGGGTTAGAAACTGTTTGTTTTATTTTACAATATTATTTCTTTATTTGGTGGACGATAATGGTAATGAAACCCCAATAGTGAGGCACTAAAAGTTTAGACAACGTAAAGACATAATACACGTAGTTTGGAGAAACTCATTCGCGAAAAAAAGAATAAATTTGATGAAACAAAGTAGCATAACACAATTCTTAGTTAACAATTAGAGATATTTATAGTCAAACTTTTACGTAAAGTTAGCTAGAAAGTTTTAATAAAGATAAATCTGTAAATCGTTAAAATGTCTTTCCTAATATGGAAATCCTCCATAAATGCAACCCCCCATAAATGCAACCCCCCATAAATGCAACCCCCCATAAATGCAACCCTCCCCCATAAATGCAACGCAAGCACTTGGTCCCGAGGTGTTACATTTAGAGGGGTGTCACTGTGCATTACTGTATTATTACCTCTCTGTTCGACCATGGTATGAGTTTGTTATCACAATCACTTAAATGGTAATCTACAGCAAATAAAGTAGCAATCGACTTTGTTGACAACTTTCGCTTTCACATGCTTCTTTCTGTATTTGGTAAACAAGAATGATTTGTTAAGCGACTATTGCACTGATGCGTGGCAAAAGAAAAATTCATATCGCTTACCACGTTAGACGAATACAAATTTGTACAAGATTCTCTGTCGTATACTGCCTCAGAAAGCATAGATAGAAGATCTCTCAATCTGGCGGGTAATTAAGCGAGGGCAGCAAATCAAATATATGTATAATAAAATCTTAATCAGGTGTACTACAAAATGTGTAGGTGGTACATGTCTGATCAAATATAAGTAGAAAGCAACAATTAAGTGAAAGTTTTCGCTTAACGAAGAGGCTTGTGCTAATGAATGAAAGTGTAAATTGGTCATTTATTGGCTAGAGTGCGAATTGGCTAGAAAACACCAAATTGAGGATATTACATATTATTTTAATTAGTTTTTTTATCTCTTAAGTGGTTACTATTTGAGTGCTTGAGACCCGAACTAATAATAGTCAATTGATAAGTCATTATTATATCACCCATAAAAGTTATTACCATGCCGACCGTGTGCGTGAGAAAAAAAAATATATATATAAGCTCCACTGTTTTCAATTTACAGTAAAAATTTACGTCAATAACCTTTCTCAATGCTATTCCAAAAAAGGGCCATAATACGTCATTTTACTAAGAAACCTGGTTGCATATTACACATAATAATAAATAGAAGCGCTTTTGGAACCGATCACATTCTCTCACGTAACATGTCCACAAACTTTTACGCTCAGCATTCAAAGAATTTTTTGCAGCTATTCGAAAGTGACAAAAACTTTGACCTCATTTTATATGCAGGTTGTGAACAAGATAGAAAAGAATTCAAAGTACATACTCAAATACTGTGCGCTCAATCAACATATTTTCAAGCTGCATTATCAAAAAAATGGCTCAAAAAGAAGGGTGATTGTTATGTTTTTGAAAAAGCCAACGTCGAAGCCGATGTGTTTGAAATCATTCTAAGGTAAATGCAATGTCTTTTGAACAAAGCATCTTCGTTCGATATATATGTACTCAACACATTCAATTTAATATGCTATTCGTTATAGGTATCTGTATACGGGAGAAGTGAATATAGACAAGTGTGATGGATCTCAGATTCTCAAATTGTTGGTTGCAACGGACGAGCTGGATTTGGGTGATCTCCTTCAATTTGCGCAAATTTATCTTATTAAATCAAGAGAATCGTTCATAATTGAACAACCAGTCCGAGTGCTGGAATCAATTTTCCGACTTGAATCGTGCAAAACGCTTAGACTCTTTTGCCTTGATGAAATTTGCAAGAACTATACGTATCTGTTCGACTCGGACGATTATTTGACATTGGAAAAAGACATATTCGCTCAGATATTGCAACAGGATAAATTACATATAAAAGAAGTTGAATTATGGAAATGTGTTTTGAAATGGGGCGCGAGCAGACATCCTGAATTAAAACCTTCCCCAACAGAATGGTCGACAGATGATGTGAATCAAATGAAGAAGACACTAGCCGGTCTGATTGAGCACATTCGATTTTTTGCAATATCCGCAGGAGAATATTATGACGAAGTTAGGCCATACAGAAAGCTATTCTCTAAAAAATTAAGAGAAGAAATGTTGCAATTTATTATGTTGCCATCCAGAAAACCGAACGATATTATGACAAAAGCTAGAGGCAAACCGTTAAATTCGAGATTAGTTGGTTATTCTGTCATGGCTCTTATTGCTGGATGGATTGATTCAAGGAATACCGCCTATGACGAGATTCCCTATGAGTTTACACTTATCTATCGGGCAAGTCGTGATGGATTTGATGACCAAAAATTTCGCAACATGTGCTCCTCCAAAGGCCCAACTGTTGTCATTGCCAAAGTTACGAATAATCCAAATATATTCGGCGGCTATAATCCTTCACATTGGCCTAATTATAATTCAGTTGGCTCTCAATCTTATAGCAATACAGATAATAGTTTCATTTTTGAGATGTCTGATGGAAAGTCGACCGCAGGAGCACGCATTGGTAGGCTCGTTTCTGGAAATAGACATGGATACTATAACAACTACCCCGATATGCGATATTGCCACAGTCATGGTCCATCTTTTGGTAGCGGTTTTTGTATTCGCGGACGCGCATTGAGTTCAGATACTTCAGCGAATAATTATTATCGGTATGGAATTGGATACAGTATTGCAAATGGAACTCTTGAGGAATACGAAGTTTTTACAGTAAAAAGAGGTTAAATAAATTCATTGGTTAAAGGTTTCTCTACATTTTATCTTATCTCATGGACACTGAGCGAATGCGGGATAGGCAAACGAAAAAATCGGCGAGAAAACCAGATAAAACATGACATTATATGAAAAATATCATGCTAAAATAATAAAACGTAATTTTTGATTTAAGGCCGTGCATCAATGTTTACCGCTCTAATTAAATTTTGTTCTAAACACAATTGAAGCATTTTTGATCCTGTAACTATTTCTAATAGGTGTAATACTATTTCTGGTTTATATTGAAGACGTTTCTGGTTGCATAAACGTGTAGATAAAAACTATTTAAAATACAGTCGCATTCTGAGTCCCAGATATAATGGTATCGCTTCCATGGATGCAAATAGCAATGTCAGTTTACTTATAAGCATTAACGGAATAGTTTATGAAGTTCCCGACAGCGACTACGAACTCATATACTGTCACAAAGTAGCCCAAAATTGAGAAAGGTCTCTAAAATTTTTTCTTATCAGGGGTTTTGAATTATGTACCCTTATTTTCTACTACCTATATTTACAATATTCACTATTTTATGTAATATACCATTATCATTTACAAAATAAACCTTTTTTTTTTGTTTCAATTGATTACATCCAATATTAGAAGAGTTCACACGCCAAGTATTCTTACAACTAACACGAGCTTTATGGCATCGATTGTCACACTTTTCCACAAGCGATCATCAGTGCATGTACCACACATTATCCGTCGACCGCTGCTCAATGCAACCCCCACTGCGCTTTGAGCTCTTACTGTCTTTCTCAATGTTACTTGTTGCTGTGGTATATTACCCAGCTCAGGAAACTCAGCTGCTCATCCACCCTTCTTGTTGATATGCCATTCACAAGAACACCTTCTACGAGGCCTTGAGTAGTCGTTCACTTACGACTTCACCTAGCATTGTCATTCTGGCAGATCATGTCATTACCTCCACAAGTAACATAGAGCACATCCTAACCGATATGTGGAATTAGAACAGCTATAGATTCAACTGAAAGTCCGATTTTTCTTTCGAGAAAGCCGGTCCGAATATTCGTTTCCCTTAGATAGTAGGCTGTAAAGATGTTTCATTAAAAGTTAGACAACGATGATATGGATATTGTTAGTGGGATTTATATATAACGGCTTTATATCATACCATAGCTTTAACTATATTTATAGGGGATGTTTATTCACAACTTCGTGTAATCACAGAAGTTACAGAAACATTTAAGGATTGTGGGGAGGTGAACTATACGGTATTAATAAGAAAGTAAACATAGTTTATGCTTGGTTGTTATTGTTACAGTCGTCTTATTACATAACTCATAACGTTTATGACAATCCGCTCTCATCAGCTTGTAGGTCTTGCCAAATAAAGTGGATTATTGTTTGATAAATTATACATGTCATATTAAGATTGTAAAAACGATAGTATAAATAGACGATTACTCTGAAAATGTCTGTTAATCACTAACAATTGTATCTCCACTATGGTAAATTCTCCTCTATATCGTGATTGCTAATTTTAGCAACTTCGATTCCAAATCTGATGGGAGATGACGGTATTTATGTGTATCTACATATTTGGTATAAATGACAGCTAAACTCCACTGTTTTCAATTTACAGTTTGAAAAACACGGAAAAAACATAAAAAAAAACGGTACAAAAGCCAACCGGGTCAAAAAACGCAGGCCTGGTGGATATAACCCACTTTCATGGGGTTCCAAAACTGGTTGGGTTAACACTAAAGAAAGTTTTATATTTACATTAGATAAAAACATGGCTTGGATTTTTTTTAAATATTTTTCATTGATTCGTGCTGGTGTTGCTGATTGAACAGCTTTCTTTGAACAGTCATCGGTAACTAAAACTTTTGCGGAATTATCCGGGTTGTAAGCGGTGTGGCAGTAAAGACTCCACTGTTTTCAATTTACAGTTTGAATATCCTGTCACAGCTTTCTCATTACTATTCCAAAAGGAGTAAGAATAGAGTCATCATACTGCGGTTGCATATTATACATAAGTAGGAGCACTTTTGGAAAACCGATCACATTCTCACGTACAATGTCTACCAACTTTTATACTCAACATTCAAAGAATTTTTCGCAACTACTCGAACATGGCAAAAACTTTGACCTCATTTTATATGCAGGTGACAAACAAGACAGAAAAGAATTCAAAGTCCATACTCAAATACTGTGTGCTCAATCAACATATTTTCAAGCTGCACTATCAAAAAAATGGCTCAAAAAGAAGGGTGATCGTTATGTTTTTGAAAAAGCAAACGTCGAAGCCGATGTGTTTGAAATCATTCTAAGGTAAAGTGCGTTAAACAAACCATTTCTGTTCATTGTATACTATGCTCATTGTCATATGTTATGACGTTATAGATATCTGTATACGGGAGAAGTGGATATAAAAAAGTATGATGGATCTCAGATTCTCAAATTGTTGCTTGCAACGGACGAGCTGGATTTGGGTGATCTCCTTCAATTTGCGCAAAATTATCTTATTAAATCAAGAGAATCGTTCATAATTGAACAACCAGTCCGAGTGCTGGAATCAATTTTCCGACTTGAATCGTGCGAAACGCTTAGACTCTTTTGCCTTAATGAAATTTGCAAAAACTGTACACATCTGTTCGGCTCTAACGATTATTTGACATTGGAAGAAGACATATTTGCTCAGATATTGGAGCAAGACAAATTGCATATAAAAGAAGTTGAATTATGGAAATGTGTTATGAAATGGGGCACGAGCAGACATCCAGGGCTGAAAACCTCCCCGACTGAATGGTCGAAAGATGATGTGAATCAAATGAAGAAAACGCTGGCCACTCTTATTGGACACATTCGGTTTTTTGCAATGCCTGCAGACGAATATTATGACGAAGTTAGGCCATACAAAAAATTGTTTTCTAAAAAACTAAGGGAAGAAATGTTGCAATTTATCATGCTACCATCCAGAAAACCGAACGATATTATGGCAAAAACTAGAGGCAAACCGTTAAATTCGAGATTGGTTGGTTATTCTGTCATGGCTCTTGTTGCTGGTTGGATCGATTCAATGAATACTGCCTATGACGAGATCCCCTATGAGTTTACACTTATCTATCGGGCAAGTCGTGATGGATTTGATAATCAAAAATTTCTCAAAATGTGCTCCTCCAAAGGCCCAACTGTTGTCATTGCCAAAGTTACGAATAATCCAAGTATATTCGGCGGTTATAATCCTTCACATTGGAATTCAACTGGCTCCCAATATTACAGCTCTGCAGATAACAGTTTCATTTTTGAGATGTCTGACGGAAAATCAACCGCAGGAGCACGCATTGGCAGATGCGTTTCCTTCGGTGGTTGGAGTTACAACGGTTATGGTCCGTTTTTTGGTAGCAACTTTTATATAAATCAACAAACATGGAGTTCAAATATATCAGGATGTAACCGCTATGGAATTGCATGCAGTGTTACAAGTGGCACTCTTGAGGAATACGAAGTATTTACAGTAAAAAGACAAGGTTAAATAAATAAAGCGATTAAACGCTACTTTATTCTTGAGTTTCTCTGCAGTAAGTCATGGGCACTGAGCAAATTCGGGGGAATCAAACAAAGAAATTGCGGGAAACCCATATTATACATGAGATTAGCAGACTTTATATGAAAGAGATCGGGCTGATTATATAGTGGCTTTAATCTTTGCTTTTAAGACTATGCGTCAATGTTCACCATTAATTAGACTTTTACAGAACAAATTGATGAGGCACTGTAAATGCGCAGAAATGTATGGAAGCACCGAAGTAACTATTGCTAGTGCGTTAAAAGACTTAGAGACGTACGCCATTTGTGTTACAAGTAGAGGACAGATGAACTGTAGAGAAAAAGCCAAATAAACAAATGGCTATAACCAATATTTGAATTCTTTGTAAGGGTGATACCATTTCCGATAATTAATTATACGCTAACTATAATAATGAGTTACATAGCTTAATGTAATCAGCCGTGCGCGTGAGAAAAAATTTGTTGTCAATAACTTTCTCAACTATTCCAAAAAAGAGCCATTGTACTGCACAAACATGGTTGCATATTACAAATAAGTAGAAGAACGAATCACATTCTCATGCGCAGCATGTCCAAAAAATTTTATACTCAGCATATTTAACTGTTAATGTCTTATAGATGTCCGAAGAAGTGGATTTTGACGGATCTAAAATCCTTAATATTAATATTAATTGCTGATTGCAACGGACGGGCTTGGGTGATCTACTTCAATTTATCAAGCTACGATATAAACGGTGACGTATTCTCTCTCCTATCGGTGGTAACACCAGAGCAGCTGCGGAATTTGCATCATCATCGCTGCGGCATAGAAAAGTAAATTGGTCGTATGCCAGTTGGGAATTTATGTCAGATTGGAATGTACGAATACAGTTCGTCCCATCTTGTTCTATCGCCATGCTAAGCCATCACACCAGTACTGTATAAGTTAGATATGTCTATTGATGGATATCTACTTGTATTTTATGTATTCAATCATGTCGTAGAGAATGTGTACATTTTATTTGTGCGACATAAACTAAATCATTCTATTCAAACGGCATTTACATCGACAACGGATACACTGAACTTTCAAAATAACATCTAATTTGACCAAGCTTTGAGCTGAAGCAGCTTTATATAATGTTACATTTAGGGGTGGACCAACTGCACATAATTTGATGGGGAGGCAATCATTTCGTCGACAATCATTTCACCGACAAATCTTGACCAACATTATTTCGAAGTTATCCTTTTTTTGAGTTTTGCGTTCTTTATTTGTTTACAATCCTTTTTTGGTAGTTAATTGTCGGTGAAATGATTGTCGATGAAATGAAATAATACGGACCCAATTTGATGTACAGTATCACAAATAGGCTTTCATATCGATAAACGTTTGGGCTCATTTTAATATTATTGTATCAGGAAATTGACAATTGAAGGCATATTTGCTCAACAGCTCGATGCGCTTGTCGCAAAGTTCCAGTCATTTGTAACCACGTGTAATTGTTACGTAATATGAAGACGTAATACAAGTAGTAATACCACAAGTTACTATATAAATTTACAGACGTTAAATAACATATATTTATAACAAAAACCTAGTTGTTTATATGCAAGTAGGGTTGATATCGTAATGTCAATAAAATACTTTTATAATGTTGTTACCTGATTGTCTTTACTATTCCAATCTGACACATGTCCATTCTGAACTGACATATGTCCATTCTGAATTGACATAAACTCCAAACTGACATACAACAAGGAAGCTTTCCGCATCTGCATACAGCGAGAGGCTACAAGGACGGTTTGCATATGCTTTGGTTTCCATGACTTGACCAATTAAATCTCGGAATTGATTTAAAAAATTTTTTTTGCGGTCCGTAACTTGATGTAAAGATACTTCTAAGTGTTAACTTACCAGCAATTATGTCTTCAAAAATATGCAGACTCTCGGTAATGCTTTAATACCACTTGCTCCGGCTTTTAAGGTTTTTGTGTTTCTTGGTTTTTGTACTGCTGAAAAGTTACCGGTTTCTCAAATTTATGTAGAAATTTTAATTTATGGGACGCTACTCTCAAATCATTTTTTGGTTCTATGGGCGATCTTCTACTCACATGTTTTGCCAAGAGATTTTTCATTTGCTAATATAGAAACTCATTCCCAAATATCTTTGATCTCAAGCCGAAGAGTGCATAAACCCAACATTTGATGACAAATCGCTCCAAATTCAAATGGAGTCCGCATGTTGATATGTATGCGGTGACACTCAAATGGTACGTGAGAAAAGCATTGTGCATGTTTGTGCATAGTAATAGGTCCACTGAAACCGTCTTATCAGTTCGTGGTCCGACAATTATAACCGATCTGGGAGTTATGGTTAAGGTTAGAAAAATTGGATTCTCGAGTTTGCGCGAGTAATGAGAAAAGAATACATTGCGCATCTTGATTTTAACCCTCCCCAAATTTTGATGATGTCTCAAATGAAGCAATTTCCACACCTTGATCTGCATATCAGCAAGGCTTTGTGCAGAAGTTTCACTTGATGCATCTACGAGTTGATCCTCATGTACAGTATATCTTTGTGGCATGCGTGAGAAAATTATTATGCAAACTTTGATGTGTATCCGCAGTTCATACAAACTTCTATAAATGGCAGGTATAATAGAGACAGTGCTTATTTGATAATCTGTGCATCAAGCATTTTGCACTAGCCATTGTGTGACGGATGAAAAAAAATTTTCCCAAGCATCCAGATAATCTTACGACCTCTCGATTGGACGACTGGTAACAAGTCACTGGATTCATTCATTATGGAGTCATGGAATAATAGTAAGCATGAATATGATGATGTCTATATACAATGGATAGAGTATTCTCTATTGACAGACGGACATCGTTATGCCAAGAGATCTAGCGATTGTATTGATTGCGTAAATCTAATTGAAGGAAATACGAGGTCTATTTATTCACAAAATTGACTACACGAACAATTAACGAGTATCGTCGTCTAGGAGTGTCGTCGTCGGTTAGCAACCGACATAGTGAGACCGGTATATAGCGTAGGACTTTAAAGTATGCGAGCTGCTTTTTTCTCCACTTCATGCATCTCACAGATTGCCTTTACTTCAATTTAGGACGTTTAAACATTTATCACCACTTTAAAATTGCATAGAAATGCAATGTTCGTGGCGTTACTAGGATGAGCGATTTTTTGGTGCCAGTTGGCTTTGCATATTTACAGCTATTCTCTATGTACTGTTCGCTTGCACGCACGGAGAAAATGCAGGGGGTGCATCAAAACTCATCAGCCGTCGGTCCGCTTTAATTTTAAAGAGAATCGATAATTACTATTGGCAAAGCCCCGCTCAGAAGAAGTATTGTATTGGAGACAGTTGTACGCCACAAACGAAAAACTAGCTATATTTTGCATGAACTCTACATGAGTGAATCATACAAAGGCCGCGCTCAGGTTTTGGGACGTGTGCCTTCGTTTCTAGATATTTTCTATAAAATCCCGCAATTTTTCCATGAATACTCTAGCTCCAGCTTCAACGACTTATCGAATCTTTCTCTACATTATCACCTCTGCAAACTACAACTTTTTGTTCTAAAGATTTTAACACCATGCAGTTTGACTTGAAAAGTTTACCCGAGCACCGTGTTGGATTCTGGCTGCCCAAGGATCGTCGTCTCATCACGGGATGGGTCAACAAGCTCATGGTGGAGGCTCGAAAGAAAAAATTTAGCCACCTTGACCCTCTTCTGCAAGCCTTCAAAAAGGTCGTAGCTAGTGATGTGTACTTGAACGCGCTCTCGGTTTCCATGTTCAGCGAAGTACCGAACGTTCACCCCTATAACAAGGATCCCGACGGCCAGCCTGAATTGAAAAGCTTCAATGACATGCTCTTAGCCATCAATGTGATCATAAAGACTGCACCTCCCTGGTCGGACGCGGCCGAACTCAGTGGCCTTATCGGCTTTCCAATCAATGCTATACTTGACTGGCCAATGGCAACTGCTTCTGGCTTCGCATTTTTCCTGGAACCTAAAGTCAACGGCTGTCTCAGAGAAATTCTGACTAAATGGTGCAAGTACCTTCAGGACCCCAATCAAGATTCCAACTTAGTCCTCTATCCCCCCAATGGCTGGCTTGGAACCGACGGGCTCAACGCCTTGACCGCGAAGGGCGACCAGAACGGGCTTTCTTCAGCTGATGCGTATACTTTCACGCAACTCTATGCTTGTCCTAATCCAGACGACCCGAACACTTTCGGCTTCGAGTCGTGGGACGCTTTCTTTACCCGCGAATTTCAGGACAATGTGCGACCCCTCGACCCCAATGCGGATATCGTCCACGCTTGCGAATCTGCTCCGCTTCAATACCCGGTTAGCAATGTCCAGCTCACAGATAACTTCATGGGCAAGGTTCAGGCCTATTCGCTCCAAAACATGCTTGATAATGACCCCTTCGCTAAGCAGTTCGTTGGTGGTACGGTATACCAAGCCTTCCTCTCAGCTCTCAGCTTCCACAGATGGGTTTCCCCTGTCGATGGTACCATCGTCAAAGTCACTAATGTGCCGGGAACGTACTATTCGGAGAATATGTATCAAGGCTTCTTTAGCGGGAATCCCGACGAGGCCGCTCCGAACAACTCGCAGCCTTACATAGCCTCTTTGGCGACTCGAGCGCTGGTATTCATCCAGGCCGATAACGCTAATATCGGCCTTATGTGCTTCATCGCGATCGGGATGGCCGAAGTTTCCTCTTGCGAAGTGTTTGTCAAAAAGGCACAGCATGTCAAAAAGGGTGACCCGCTGGGCACGTTCCATTTTGGTGGCTCCAGCCATTGTTTGGTATTCGGTCCAAATGTAAAGCTGAATTGGATTGGCCTTCCGCCTAAGGATGACACACGCTGGCAAAACATGGACAATTACCATGTCAAAAGCGGGCTCGCTACTGTATCACCGTAGAAGCACGAAGTGGCGAATGGGAAAGGCATCGTCACAACTAAAAGTACCACATGAATTTTTGTTGTATATAAATAAAGCCTACTGGATTAAATAAACATCTTCACAAAAGATTTATGCTTGCAATGGTGACATATTATAAATGAAATTTCTTGAAGGGAATACATTTAAGATTCCCTTACAATCTTTAGAATTGGTAGTGACCATGTCTTGTTTAATGACGAGACAAACATTTAATCAAAATCTATGTGCAATTTGATATAATCAGATCCTGATCTCCATGAACCCAATCTGGGTTTATGTCTTAGCCCGCGGAGAATGTGTATTGAACCTGCCGTTGGGCCACTGGCCAACCCAATCGCCTAATGTTTCTATTGTCAGGCTTACGTTGCTTTCGCTGCGCCACTCATCCATGCTGTAAGGATTTTTAAACCGTTGCGAAGCCGAAACCGAAATATGAATATGATGACATTCTTGACAGTTGCCTTTGTTAGAAACTTAATTAACTCATAATGTTTCACCTTATTAATGATGTGATTGCTACATTCGTGTATATATATCTTTACAGACCTCGTTCACACAATCAATCTTAATCCTCAATTATATTTACCAACATCCTTTATACAGCATCTGATCCAAGATACTTATAATGAGTTGTGCGTCGGTAAAGGTAAAATAGTGACGGTAACAACCTGGGAAACTCCTCTTTCGTGAAAGTATTTTTGTCGATTAACTCCGATGTTGGAAATAAACCAAGTGAAACCCTTTGCCTGCATAAACACCGAACCACACCATTGGGTGAGAGCGCCCTGAGGATCTCGAGAGATTGAGCACAGGTCTTGAAACGCAGTGTATATTCTTGTACGAACTCCTTTCTTTTCTTGGGATCTTTGACATGCTTCACGTTGACTGGTATTTGCCTGCTCATTCTTCTTATTTTTAAACCCAACAGGGTTAGAGTAGATGATAAGTTTGTCCTTCCCAATATAATCTTGTATATCTACAAGAAATTTGGTGATGGTAGCCGTAGTGGTGTATGAGTCAAACTTATTCGTGTCCATGTCGAAACTCCGAGTCAATACATAAATAAATGAAACTTTCATACTTTCGCTCCTGCATATTTTGATTATCAGCCAAAGTCGAATACGTAGAATGAAGGGGAAAACCCACGCGACTGTTCTCTGTCTGTGTACGTGCAAGGTGGACCCGATTTAGTCGAAGATTTGTGGCGGATATATTCTTATCGATCATATTCCTCTTTAGTAACCATCCTGTCAGAGAATAAAGTTCGTATCGAATCAAGAAGCAACTATACCTCCTCGTCATTCATGTTTTTCGAAGCTCTTAACTTATCTACATACCCAATTTGTTAGATTAGAATATTAAGTAACATAACACGGTAGATGTGAACGACTTTAAATGCGGAGTACGTACCATAAACATGTTATTGTATTAGTATGGTGCGTCCATTTTGTCACATTCTCAACTTTTGGTGTTGATACGCGCGGTTCATATCATTGGCTGCGAGGTGAATGCAAATACAGCCCGGAGTAAGGCTAATGGACGAATAAAATCAATTGTTTACACTGCACGAGTATTAGGCTCTATACTTGTATGCATCGTGATCTAACATGCAAGATTTTACATTTCAAGGTTCTAGATCAACAACCAACAGTTTATAATTCCCTCATTGTCCCGCATGTTGGATGTTGTGTTATATCAGGTGGTTCTAGAAATTTACATAAGTTATTGCAAATTATGGAAGACAAAAGTAAGTGGTATAAGCTCCAACGATAGAGATACGCAGTAAATTTTTCTCGTACGTGAATACTTGGGAGAGACGTGCATGGAGGCCTAAGAAGCAATTTCCGGGTCCAACAACCTATGTACTTCGACTTAACAGCTGTATCGGTGCACTCTAGTTCTTTTCTTTCTTTCTTTCTTTTTTTTAGCCAAAATTTCAAGCAGTGAAAATCTGTCGTCTGTCGGAAATGAAAATGGAATTTCGAGGTCGTAATTCTGCGGTTGAGTGATCTCACCGTCAACTAAATTATCTAAGGCACGAAGTGGTGTCGAAAGCTTCTTACTTACTGGCTGTTTCATACATCGAAGATATGGTGCTTAAAATGGTACATATGTCGTATATAAATCCCGTCACCATATAAATCCCGGATTTATATATATAAATGCCGTACCACGATTTACACTACCCTACCATAAATCACCGGATTTTTTGTCACGTGTTTGAAATAGATATGAAATTTTTGTATTTTCTAAGCGACGTTGACAATTTTCAAATTTATTAACCATCGATACA